TGTCACTTTAAAAGTTCAAGTGTTTTGCATGAATTATCAAGGCTATTTGATGTAGTGTTCTTAAAGGTGTTTGGTTTGTTTTGAACTTTGAGCAAAGCTACACGAGGGCTATCTGCACTAATTTAGCAATGAAAGACTAGAGGGAAGGCAGCTAGTCATTACCACCCATCGTCAACCCTTTGGCTACTCTTTTACCACTGAATAGTAGGACTGACCATCATTTATAATGCCCTCACAGTTGATAGGGAGAGCATGTTTGATGGGATGGGGATTCAAACCCGAGACCAGCAGATAGCGAGTTGAGCTCCCTAACCATGTTGCCATGCCGAGCTCCCTGAAGGTGTTAATCAAAATACAGAACAGATCTTCTTGCTCTACAACTGACAATTCTTTTTATGCTGTTGGTGATGTAATCTATACTTTAATGAGATTAGTTAAAAAAACTTATGATACAATTGTACTGTATCTGAAATTACTAAGCCACTTACTCTCTGAATTTAGGTTTATCAGCTGTAGACTGTTTCTAACAGTAGAGCCTTCAGAAGTACAGACATCTGAAACAAAAAAAATCTGTTTTGAAAATTACTGGGTGAGCTATGGCTAAGGCTGAACAACAAGTTTTCAACATAGAAACTCAGATCATCAATGGCTTATGTTTAACCCTATCGAGATGGGTAGGGATCAGAGGGCATGTCATCACGTTTGTAGATTTACATTCAACATTTTATTTAGCTATTAGTTTATAAAGATATAAAAGTAAGTTTGATATAATTCAAATTTTAGTATTATACATTAGTTAGTTTCTTAATTTGAAATTAAATACATAAAAAAAGGCTAAATATCGATTTTTGTGTGTCATGTGGTATGTGTCCTTCTAGGTTTGGTCAGATTACATTTTATGACACCTACAATACAATGTCTACAGTTTCTTCGAATTAGAAACTCAAATGCTCGATATTGGCAAGCTAGAGTATAAAATAAGAACCTCCTATATTTTTTTATTTGTCGAGATATCATGATATTTAGCAAACCCACCATATTAGCTCCACCCACCACTTCATCATTTGAGAAGATTTACTTATCTACGCCTTCTTTAATATACCAAGAACTTTATAATTAATCAAAAGCTATACATTTATTCTACATAATTCTGTCAGTCTTCCTAAGTTATTTAAGAGAGAAATAATCTTATGTGACTGGAAAATTTGTAGTATTGTTATCAAGGCTATTTTGTGAATAGAAATTATTTTTTTAGACCCAAGTACAATTTAGTTAGGAAGCCTGATAAATTACAATGGATTTTTGGGGTATTGGTATAGTAATTTATAATTTTTTTTATTTCAAAATGTTTATATAAAGTGTACAAAAATTATTATTTTTCCATCTCCACATGTGAATTTGTACAAGGCTTAGCAAGTATGTCTCATGAGTGGAAACAAAGACTTCGTAGCATTGTAGGCAGTAGAGATCATTGCTTTATACTTGGCAGGTTTCTACTTCAGCCGCTAACATTAGAATAACAATAGAAAATAGGTGTAAAAAGATTAAACTCTCAGGAGATTTATTTGGAACTTTACTGTCCTTACTGATAAGTACAGAGTACTATTCACTTTGTTTCTTCTATTTTCTAACTCATCTACTAGCAATAAAATACCTACAGAAAATAAGTGTGAAAAGATGAGAGTGCAAACTATGACTATAAGTACTTTGAAATTTTGTAATCACTACTAACAATACTTTGCAACTTTTATGTTCAATATACTTTGATTACTTACCCATAACCTGGAGAAATAAGTATAATGTTACAGTACAAAAAATAAATACAATATAAAGCTTTACTGAAAATAAAATGTTTGATATTTAATTACGAGGTCTTTTATTTTTTCATTTGTTTTAACTATTTATTATTATAAAAGTAACTACAATCATAAAAATAGAAAGTTGTCAGGTAAAATAATGAAAGAAAAATAATAAAAACCTTCATG